ACAAATTTAAAAATCGCTAATTTTCGAAATTTTTTCAATTTTTTTTACTTAAAATTGCTATAACTTTTTTAAAAATAAACATATCAATATAATTCTTTTTTATATAGATGTATAATATCATTACCTTTCATTTGGTATATTTTTTTCATAAATNATTTTTTTACTTAAAATTGCTATAACTTTTTTAAAAATAACCAAATAAATATAGTTATTTTTTATATAGATGCATAAATCAATACCTTTTATTTGGTATATTTTTTTCATAAATTTAACCCTTAACCTGCCCACAAAGAGGGATTTAAAATGACAACTTTTTCACAAAAAATTTACTTTTTCAACTTAAATTTTGAAAGTGTTCCGGAAAGTCTGACACTTTTATATATATCTTAAATTAAAGCTAATGTAATATACTTTATCATGAAAAAAAAAAATTTCGGACTTTATCTTATCTTCATGGTGAAAATGGCTACCGAATGCTATTTTTGTGTGAAAATTTTCGATTTTATAATTTACATTTTTTACTTTAAAGTGCTATAACTTTTTAAAAAATGTATGGATCAATACAATTTTTTCATGAGAAGTAGTATTTATATACATCTTTCATTGGATATACTTTTTTTTTAAATCAGACTATTTCCCTATATATGGGGGGGCTTCAAATATAAAAAATGCATATAGAAAGTAGAACTTTTTCAACTTAACTTTTGAAAATGTTCCGGAAGGTCTGACACTTTTATATATATCTTAAATTAAAGCTAATGTAATATGCTCATTATGCAAAAAAAAAAATGTCGGACTTTATTTTATCTTAAAGGTGAAAATGGCTACCGAATGCTATTTTTGTGTGAAAATTCTCGACTTTATTTTTTTATTTTTTACTTTATAATGATATAACTTATTGAAAAGTGTAAAAGGGTAAAAGACATTACCCTCAAAAATTGAAAAAAATTACCTCGTTCCCCGTAAATGGNTATTATGTAGAAAAAAAATTTCGGACTTTATTTTATCTTCACAGTGAAAATGGCTACCGAATGCTATTATTGTGTGAAAATTCTCGATTTTATTTTTTACATTTTTAACTTTATAATGCTATNCGTCAAAAGATCACAAATTGTAAAGGGTAAAAGACATTACCCTCAAAAATTGAAAAAAATTACCTCGTTCCCCGTAAATGGGGGAAACCTCCAAAAAAATTACGAATTTAAAAATCGCTAATTTTCGAAATTTTTTCAATTTTTTTTACTTAAAAGTGCCATAACTTTTCCAAAAATAAACATATCAATATAATTCTTTTTTATATAGATGTATAATATCATTACCTTTCATTTGGTATATTTTTTTCATAAATTTAACCCTTAACCTGCCCACAAGGGGGGATTTAAAATGACAACTTTTTCACAAAAAATTAACTTTTTCAACTTAACTTTTGAAAATGTTCCGGAAGGTCTGACACTTTTATATATATCTTAAATTAAAGCTAATGTAATATACTTTATTATGCAAAAAAAAAATTTCGGACTTTATTTTATCTTCACGGTGAAAATGGCTACCGAATGCTATTTTTGTGTGAAAATTTTCGATTTTGTATTTTACATTTTTAACTTTATTATGCTATAACTTTTTGAAAAATGTATGGATCAGTACAATTTTTTCATGAGGAGTAGTATTTATATACATCTTTCATTTGACATACTGTTTTTTTAAATCCGACCATTTCCCTATATACGAGGGGGGTTCAAATCTAAAAAATGCATGTAGAAAGTAGAACTTTTTCAACTTAAATTTTGAAAGTGTTCCGGAAAGTCTGACACTTTTATATATATCTTAAATTAAAGCTAATGTAATTTACTTTATTATGCGAAAAAAAAATTTCGGACTTTATTTTATCTTCACGGTGAAAATGGCTACCGAATGCTATTATTGTGTGAAAATTCTCGATTTTATGTTTTACATTTTTAACTTTATAATGCTATGACATATTGAAATGTGTATGGATCAACATTATTTTTTTATGAGAAATAATATTTTTTAATAATCCCTTTTTCATTCGACATACTTTATCTTAATTAGGATATTAATAATGAACTAGCAGATCATGTAGCTTTTGGAATAATCCACCAATTTTTTAAAATTAAACACTATCTAAAAATTTGCATCGAAGCGTATTTTTTTGATAGTGATTTTAATCACTGTCAGATATCATTATACTTGATCCATCTATACCACGTCACCACTGTGCCGCGACCCCCCTGTGCTGGGTTTTTTTTAACATCCAAACCACGCTCATTTAAGTGCTATAAACGGATTTTCTACTTCATTCGTTTAATAGAGTTTTTTAACCGAGATATAAAATACAACAATATAATTTCCAAGTTTTGCTGCGAGGTCTATTAAGATTGAATGTAAATTAAGTCTAAAATGAAAAGAAGAAATTCCTGAAAAACTTAAAAATATTGCTAGCTGCAAACAAGACAATAACTGTGACTTTGGTAAGAAAATGCAAATAACTTCGTTTGAAACTGTCCCCAGAGGTGTTTTGTTGACACAAATATAATACGTTTAGTTCACTTTGATTCGGTGTCAACGAGAAATGTTATTAGTAAAAATAAAAGCTCTTCGATAACTTTAATCTAATTTATCTTTTTAATGGTTAAAAATAATATGAAAAGATATAGTTTTATAATTGCAGTATTCATGTACAATTTGTTATTGTTGTTCACAGACATGGATTAAAAAATTATACGCATGAAAATAAAGAAATAAACTTATTTGTTAAATACTTCTATAATGCACTTAATAGGTATTTAAAGCAGTTATTAATAATGATAATGAAATATACAAATTAACTAAAAGTTTTGGTAGTGCGTGTAATAAGCTTATCATATAAGGAGTAAGAACTGTTATTCTTCCGCCTCCACTAGATCCAAATTTATTTATTGACTTTGTTTTTTATTTAATTGTTAAATAACTTTTCACATTTGTGCCATTCGGAGACGACTTTTCCAACCGGAGAATATTTATTATTAACTATCATATTCACAAATTGAACATCAATACATGTTTGATTTCAGTATTACAATAAATTACACCACAATACTGACATTTAACATGACAGTGAATAGAAACATTCAAAAGGTATATTACATAATTGAATGAAATGAATGCAATATGCTTTAAAGAATCTAAATATAGAAGTATTTTTATTAGCTTAAAGAAATATGCATCGTTTTACAAAGTATACTAAATTTCATTGGACTGGATAAAAAATCACGATTATGTTAAAAAATTCATAGTTGCACATATTTCTATAGAATTATCTTGTAGCTAAGAAAAAAAATTCAGAGAAGTATAAAACTTATATTTTTTTATCAATTTACATTTTTAACAAATATATTTAGAATACTTTGAGTTTGAAATAATTGCCCAAAAATTATTTTCTATATCACCTCCATCATTACAAGTTCTGTCTTAAATGAATTCCCCGCCCAAGTATACTATACAAATGATTGATCGAAGTCATCGCAGTGTAACAAGATACGCTGTGGTATTTTCTTTTTTTGAGACTGCTTCAAAAGTTTATTCAATATATATATATAATCACCAGTGTATCAAGCTATCATACTTATCATCAAAAACTGTGACAGTAATATAGTACAATTATGAATAATTTAAAATAAGTCATGACACAGATAGTAAAATTCAGCAAACATCAATCGAAATTGAACATTTTAAAGCTACACGTTTTATCTATACTCTAACTGCAATTTTTTAAAATAAGTTTTTCATAAATTCATAAAAAAAATGTTATGATTTGTAAAAATATAGATTCTCATAAAGAAACATTTTATAGCTTGCGTCTTTCATACGTTTCATATATTTTCAATTAAAAATAAAAAACAAATTTTAACTTATCTTATTTAAGTAAAAATTTAATATACGTAATAAATTCTTTATTTTACCCACAGAGTTGAAAAAATTATTAACTTTTTTTTCTTCCAATCCTTATCATATTAAGTCGAAACCTAAACTTTTGTATACTTTATAGTATTACAAATGTCTCTTCAACTTATATGAAACCAATATAATTTGTTAAAAAGTTTTCCTCTACATTTTCGTAGAAAAAGTGATCTCATAAAATCTTAACGTAATGTAGTCTAACGTTTTAAAATTTTCCCCTTCGCTATTTTTTAAACAAATTAGATTTATGGTTTGCTTTTTTCTTTTTTAAATTCAACAATTATTTTTCTAAGAAAGTTTTCATATCCAATTTACGTAGTTGAAGCTTTACATATATTTTCTATGGTATTAAAAACATATTTAGAAGACCATAATTAATATCAATTTTTCACATTAAACAATGGAAATCATCATAATTGTTTAGATATTTGAGAACATTAATGTTCCTTATACATAATTGTTAATGTTATACAATACTTTTGTATGAAATTGATTTGACAAAACTAATTGTCTTTTTAACGTTACTTGTGAGCAGTATTCAGAAAAGTAGCGAGCACTAAATTAGTGTTTGATCAAACTATCAAAAAAAATTAATTGTTTCAATTTCTGATACCCCACAAATATTGTCCTTGTCCAATTCAATAAAATCAGTTTGACTATCGAACGAAGGCAGGTTGGGTCAACGGTCCAGGAGGTACAATAATTGTAAAAGTCCAAATTGCTCTAAATAATATTTGTCACTCTATGGAAAAAAATGATGAGAAAAACAAGTAAAAAAATAATAATAAATAACATACATTTATTGTACTTTGATTTTAACACAGAATTTTAATTTTAAAAATTATAAATTATAAAATTTTAAATAATAATATTATAAGTTATAATATAATTAAAATATTACAATAACTTAAAATAAAAGTAAATCATAAAAAAGTATATTATATATCGTTCTATCATCAGAAATTCCTTTGACAAATGTTTGACTGAATGATTCTTTGCGTTATTTACCATTTTGGCATACACAGGCAAATTTTTTGTTACATTGAAAAATGTATTGTTCTTCATTTTTCTATTGTTTTATTCAAAAAACCCAACACCAACAGCGTTGTCTTTGCATATTTCAGTTTTTTAAATATTTCTGTTCGGCAACTATATTACATTGTCATTCAAACAGCGCAACGATATTAAAATGACTGATGTTTTTTCGTCATTATTTAATAGTACTTTTGTTTACTTATCGATGGGTGTAAATTAAATTTAAAATAAATATAACAATATAAATAAACCTTTATTCCTCAAAAAATCATATACCTTCTTTTTATACAAAAAAAATTATTTTTATTAATTTCAACTATTACGTGAACGAGTATTGTAAATAGTTTTAATTAATTAATTACTAAGTTTCACTTGGCTGAGGATCCGCCCAAACCCGGTGCCCTGCATGCCTCGCGTGCTGTAGACGCGTTAGGATCTTCGGGCTGTCCTTACAGGTAGACCGCTGATTCCGATAGGAGTACCTAGCACTTGTAAGTAAAATAATAATTTTGACAACAAAATACTTATGTGTATTCACAATCATATTTCATAATAATATACTAATTATTATTCTAAACAAAAGATAGACAAAACAAAACTTAATAATCTTTAAATTCCGTGTAATTAGTGCCAACTACACATACAAACATACAATTTAAACGAATTGTGATGCGCAAAGCAAAATCAAACCTACTAAAAAATATGTGCATGGACCGAAAAAAGTACCTCATAACTCGATAAAAAAAACAGATTCAAACGAAATTTTCAGAGTACCTTTGAAATGTTTCTGGACAAGTTTGGTAAAATTTTCAGGATTTAAATCGAAAAACACTGATAAAAATGAGCGTTTTTTTAGAAATGTTTAAACGTTTATGGTGAGCTAAAAAAAATTTTCATATATACGCCAATAATTCCATAATTATAATTTTCTAAAATAACGTCATTAAGTTCTTTCATTAAAAAAAAAAAATTTGAAAATCGTACGTCTTTAAGTAATTTTTCCAGCATTGGTTAATTTTTCAGTATTTTATTATATAATAAGATTATACACTAACTGTAAGAGAAATTCTCTATAATGAATTTTAACACTACTAAAATATAATTTGTGAATATAATTGTTTTCTTTTTACAGGAAGGAATGGGTACCTTAAAAATAGTAAATGGTGGCATTAGGTTATCTGGTCACACTGTAGTACTGGACAGGCTAATAGCTTCAACGATCCGCTCGCGTACCGGCTACCCCATCACTGTGGAGTCTTCGGCCAATGTTTCCATTTTTGCCAGGAATTCTCAAGGCAGACTTGTCAACAGTCTTAAATTAAGTAAATTGAAAACGAAATTAATAATATAAATATAATTAAAATTCTCTGTTTGTAAATCGATCATAAATACTTTAAATGTAAAAACTAATTGCTAAATTATGAAATTCAAGATTTTTTTATTATTATTATTAAATTTAACGAATTTAGAAAACTATAGCATTTTTATTATAACACAAATTTATTGTTGAAACTTCTATTTCCATTATAATTCATTAGTAATTAAATATCCAATCTTCTAAAGTCCTTATTTGTACTAATCATTAATGTGTAATATATAAATTTAATTAGTTTTATTTTTATTAATCAAGTTAAATTGTTATTATTGATACTTATAAATCTAAAAAAATTAGTATTCTATAAAATTATTTACGAAAAAAATTAGTATTACATACTCTTTCTAGAATCTTATTAGTCACTTATAAAACACTTTAAAAAAATAATTAAAATCAAAAATCTTAGATTGAATTCATTTTTTACAGCAAAAGACAATCTTGAGTGTGCGGCGACAACATTTAAAGTTACGGATACTCGAGGGGAAACGTTATTTTCGGCTGATCGTAGCAAAGTCATCGTTGGTGCTCAAGAGCTAAAAGTAACAGGTATTTTGTCAGCTTAATAGTAAAACGGTTTTGAATCTGTAGAGATTCGAAGAGTAAAATACGAAAAAAATGTAGAAGTAATTGAACGACTAATGTTTTTCCAGGATTAGGAGGTGCAGTTTTTGATGGCAGTGTACAAACACCATTAGTTAGGTCGGATTCCCGACACGACTTGAGGTAAACTTCTTTTGATTTATCAGTTTTTTAACATCAAGTAGCAATTAAATTGTACTTTAGAATAAATTGATAGTGCAGTCCCTGACAGAATCTTTCATGAGTACTAAAAGTGTCAATTTTACTCCCTTTTTATTGATGAAGTAACTTTTTACAGTTTTCGTGTAGCAGATATTTACTTCAGAAAACATAAAACACAAAGTTATTGCATTATTTGAATTGGAAAATTAAACAATTTATTTTATTTAAATTAATTAAATATTTGACACAAAATGTATAAAAACATATAAAAATCATAATTTATCATATTTTAATATTTACTATACTTTATCAAAGAAATAATTTACTTTTATTGTAATAAATGTACAAGTATAACTGATACATCAAAATATTATATTAAAATCCGGATATTGCTATGAATGAAATACAAATTCACAGAGATCTATGAAATCTTATTGTACGACGTTATTACAATATGTATTTAAATATTCACTCAACCATAGAATAATATTATCTACAGATTCATTATTATTAGACTTCTGACCCAAAGGATAATTTTAATTTTATAATGAATTGTTAATTGTTCAAATCATTAAATAATAGTCGTGTAATTTTTGTTCAAAATTTTAAATATTAATTTATTCACAAACCCATTGACATGATTAATTTTTGGTCAAATTTCTTTGAAGTTATTAGCATTTTAAAATATAGACTGGAGGTAAAGCGATTATGTTACTATTTTTATCATTAATCATTTCTCAGCCGCTCTCCTCCTCTTGCCTATGTGCAAAATTGTTAATATCTTCCGAAGCACTAAACCAAAAACTGTTATCGACCAATAATAAAAAATAAATAAATAAATGTAATATCTTGGTAAGCTCGTCACGGACAACGACGACATTAAGCGTGTTGTTGAGACCGATGTGTTGATTTTTGAAACAGGTAGTTTTTTATTATGTTGATTTTGACATCAATAGAGACCATTTTCATTAGAATCTGTAAAAATTTATATCCCATCATTTTGTGGATATTTCAAATATTTTTATAAGCGATTGATGTTTTACATAAAAAATTAACTCGGCTATGATAACTCGAAGTAAAATACCAAACATTTACATAATTTTTAATGTTTACTTATACCCGCAGTTTATGAAATTAAACATAACATTGATTATACGTCGGTTGGGTTTATCTAATCCACGCCTCCACGTTCTAAATTCATTTAAAATTCTGTTAACAGTAAATCTTCTATTATCTCCAATAACTAAATTTAGTGTTGGATTGAACTCCGCCCTAACAATGATAAAATATGTTTATGTACAATTGAAATTCCCGTTGATCGACTCACACCAGATTTTCGCGTAATAAATGATGAGCAAGAAGGTAAACATCGTTATAATTATTATTTTGAAACGCATTATCTTGGAATGAATTTATTAAACTGTTCTAGTTTTTAACATATATTCAAGAATAATTTAAATTGGTATAATTATCAAAGTTTTTATTGCCTATTCTATTGTAATGTCATATTAATTTTTTTTTGTTTTTAATCAAAGCAGCTTTTAGTGTAGATTAAACTTATTTAAAAATTAAGAAAAAATTTCAGATGACAATTTTAAAAATAAATTTGATCTAAATTTATACGTTTAAGTTTTATCGTCAGCAAAAATAAATAATTATTGTTATTATTAAATAAATATTATTAAATAAAGAGGGACGGGGTGGCCGAGTCGGTAACGCAGCAGTGTTTGACGCGCACTGCCTCGGGTTCGAATCTCGGTCACGGGCGGCTTTATTTGTCGAACAAGAGATCAGTTTGGTAATTGGAGTCGCCACCCCTCTCTCCGGCAGCGAACTAACCACCCGTCCCGGAGTATAAATGGTTAAGAAACCTCCTCCTTTGGGGAAGACCGCTATGGCCCTTAATGGGCTGATAAAGCAATAAAAAAAAATGTGTCAATATATTATTATTAGCGCACATCTCTAATTCATTTCTCTTCAACTCGCTAATTCAATATTTGTAATCGTAATTGTACTCAAAAGTTATACATATGTATACCTTCATTAACATTGTAAATAATAGCATAACATAAATTCATCAGATAAGCATTTATCAACGTCGGATAACTTTTCTATTTGATATTTCTATTATTAGACACTGTGGAACAGTACCTTTTATTTTTTTTAGGAGGGGCTTACATAAAAATAATTGTTTTACCTCCTTCATATGGTTCAATATACAAATATTTTTAGATCCTGGGGATGTTTTTACTCGTATCCCTCCTCCCATAAATACGCCTATGATTACGCATATTTTATTTTTTGTAATTTTTACTCATCTTCAGATTATACCTAAAAGAAATAATTTTTAGTTTATAGAAATTTATGTCTTCTATATCTTAAATAATACTTATATTAAAATGATTCCGTTTTATAGGTCAAATAATTATTGACGTGAACAATTAACAATTGGACTGAAGAGCATAAAGTGGAAAAATGCGGTGGTATTTGAGGCCGAAGTAATTATAGTTAAAATTTATAAAAGAGTAAAAAATATTGTGAATGCTTACCTACAATGTACTTATAGTAACTTAGGATGATTGATTTATTATTGACTACTAGAAGATTTTACTTCGAATAATAATGTTGAAAAATTTTTTTAACTTTTCGATTAGTATTTAATTGTTAATCGTACCAGTTCAAGACATCTTTGACTATTTTCTTAATTTGCTAAATATTTTTTTTTCTTNTTCAGCTCTCGCCGAACCGATTTCTTTCAACAATACATCAAAAGTTCACAAATCGTATCTAGTCGAAGACATTACCCTCAAAAATTGAAACAATTTCCATCGTTCCCAGTAAATGGGGGAAACCTCCAAAAAAATTACAAATTTAACAATCGATAATTTTCAAAAACTTTTTCAATTTTTTTTACTTAAAACTGCCATAACTTTTTTAAAAATGACCAAATCAATATATTTTTTTATAAATGCACGTTGTNAAATCACTGATTTTTGAAATTTTTTCAATTTTTTTTACTTAAAACTGCCATAACTTTTTTAAAAATGACCAAATCAATATATTTTTTTATAAATGCACGTTGTATTTACCTATCATTGTATATATCTTTTTTATAAATCTGACCCTTTACCTGCCCACAGGGGGGATTTAAAATAACAACTTTTTCAACTTGACTTTTGAAAGTGTTCCGGAAAGTCTGACACTTTTATATATATCTTAAATTAAAGCTAATGTAATATACTTTATTATGGAAAAAAAAATTTCGGACTTTATTTTGTCTTCACGGTGAAAATAGTTACCGAATACTATTTTTGTGTGAAAATTCTCTATTTTATATTTTATATTTTTAACTTTATAATGCATTCGGTATGGGGTGCGCACAATGGACCAACAGGTCTGAGTGCATGGGCATTATGTCCACCTCAATAATAATTAAAACTAAAAAACTAAAACTTTATAATGCTATAACTTATTGAAAAGTATATGGATCAATACAATATTTTTATGAGAACTAATATTTATATCCCTCGTTCATTCAACATACTTTTTTTTTAAATAATATATTACACTTATAAATTATAAAACTTGTAATCAGGATATAAATAAGAAAATAGGAGATCTCATGTAGCTTTTGAAATAATTCAGCAATTTTTTTTAAATTAAACACTATCTACAGATTTGCATCGAAGCGTTTTTTATGATAGAGATTATAATCACTGTCAGATAACATTATACTTGACCCAACAATATTTTTATTTGACAATTATTATGATTTTGCGTACATTACATTGTGTTAGGACCACTTGAGAAAATTGCTCAAAGCATATACTAATAGTATTCCAATAATAATTGTTTATAATATTGCTATACAAAAACGTGACAATTATTTTTTATTATTGTCCAGATCCAAATAGATGCCGCCAAAGTGTTCTTTAAAGGGCTGAAAACTTCTTCGGTCGATTCGTCACCTAGTAAATCAAACATCGGGCCAACACTAATGCGAGATAAATTGCCTAGCGTTTATCAGTTATGTGTGTGTGGTAATGGAAAAGTGTTCATGTCACCGCCGGACGGAGAGTGTGCAGCCGATAACGAAAGCTTAGTCTGTCGGTAAAATGAGTAACTCGACAAATAAAATAAAATGAATCACCAAAATGTTATGTTTTACGTCGTTATTTATCATGTTTAAGTGCTTCAGTTATTGCTCTATCAGTTTTTTAATCATAATTATTATTATATTTTATTTACTATTATGGATGTTTAAATTATAATTTAAAAAATGCGTGCGCTTAAATGTTTTGTTTTGTTTAGTACTATTATATGTGTAATAATCGTGATGGGAAACGCTAATACCACGTATGTTAATCCGATTAATCATAAGCGATCAAGTGAATAGAACGGAATATTAATCAACATGTAAATAAAATAGTTAATGAATTATCGACAATTTTTAAAGCGAAATAGCTAATAGCAAACGGCTATTTTAGAAAAATTGCTCTGTAACGTTAAATTTATAAATGTGTTGAACAGAATAAATTTATATGCAAATATTACACAATTAATTTGATTTATATTTGTATAAAGTGTATTAAGACTCTCGCATTGCTCACCATATAATGTTACAAAAAACGCAGCGAGTGTTAGAAATACACAAAAACTAGTAATGTTTTATAAGACCTTATAAAATTCTTATGATATTTTTTGTATAAAAACATAATTTGTTTTTAGTCATATTAGTGATATTAAAGCAAACATCAAAGTTTTTACATAAAATTTGTTTTACGTTTTTCAACGAAAAAAACAACTTTCAGCGAATGTGTCACACATTTTTGAACCTTAGGCGGAAAAGTATTGATGAGTTGTTTTTTTTAAAGTAAAATGTATGTAATTGGAGTTTATTTATGTGATTGTGAGCGTGACAACTTATTTCGTTTGTCTGAGGGCTTAGGTGGCATCGAATAAAACAAAGTACAGGATTTAATGTTACGCGTATCTGTTTTCT